TTTTTTTTTTTTTTTTTTTTTTTCAGGACGATTCGATAGGTAACTTCAAGTTTGATGGCGGATAGCATACCTCAGGAAACGTTTCGTTCAATGTCAAATCGGCCATCAAGAACATTGCAATGATCGCAAAAGGGGAAGAGACAGGTGATGGACATATCTTTTCGTTAGTAAACGTCAATCAAGATCACACTAACTTTGTATATTTGTGAAAAATCTGATTAATATTATCGCAAACATAGTTCTGTCAATGTGGGAACAAAATTCACGCTATCAGAAACATAAGTGCATGTACCACTTTCTATAGTTCTAGGTAATATTAATGAATCAAACGTTGTGATTTACGACTTCAAACTAATCGATATTGTACGTTTGTGTTATCCGATTGCTTCGAAGTCAACAAAAGTCGCAAAATATTCCCGCGGTGGCGAAATTCTATTTCATAGCCATTGATAGTCTTCGTGTGTGGTTACATATGCAAGTATTCAGTTTGGCGAGAATCTTCTCCTCGTCGATGACTACTGCCGACACAAAGCATAACACGCAAACAAGATGCTTGGAACTCCTAAAAAAAAGAAAGAAAGAAAATTTCGTTAAATTCTGAAACGATTGCAAACTTAACGTAGCGAAACCGACATTAAAATAAGAAAAGACTCGAGTTCGAATCGTACCCTTACTTGCCAGTTCTTTTCTTTTTTTGTTTCTTCTTCTTCCTTATCAGAACTAAATAAAATTTTTATAAAAGTCCTTTGCAGATAAGATGATAGATTGTGACATAATTAAACATAAATTTGAAACAACCATTATTGATGTAACCATAAATACTTTTAACCTTTTCGCTACTAACGGTGACTATAGTCACCCTACGTCTGACGCTCAATGCTTGAATTTCGCATTTTTAACATTGGTAGAACAGAATGTATCTGTTATCTCCACGGTTGCCGATTTCTTCCGTTTCGTTTCTCTTTTATTATTCTATATTGCCAGATTTATGAGTGAATTGAAGTGCGTCTGCGTCTCAGGATCTGATCCCGTACCGAGACAGCGCATTAGCGAAAAGATTAAGCAACAACTGTTGAATCGAATCGATATGGCGTACGATTTGAACACTTCTCTTTTACACGAGCGTGAAGCAGTACCATTTTTTGGGGCAACGATGGCTGCGACGACGATAATACCCAAATGGAGAATGTTACAGTGTATCGGTGAAAGAGAATGCATTCGTTTGTCGCGTTCATCGACTGCGATCGATTGAAAAATTCGATGTCTCCGCGATCGTTTGTCAAGATATTTCTTCCTCTCTTCGTATCCGCTTTCTATGTGCGAGTTTTCGATTCTTCGGTGAGCGTAATCTCAAGCAACGTGCTGTTGCATCTGGCAAAGATCTATGGTGTACACTTCTTCCCCTGGGTGACACTTGCGAACGTGCCGGCGAGCATTCGAGATGTGTTTCGCACGGTAACTGCAATACGGGCAATTGAACCGTGGCTTCTGACCGCATTCAAATTTTTGATGATAGGTCAGCCCTCCTTTCCTACTGAAGACGCTGCTACAATTGGCACAGGGGAATTTCCGTGCGAGCATTCTCGGGGAATCGAAGGATGAAACGATAGGCAGGCCGCAGGTTGGTCGTTGAAGGACAAAGTTCTGCGAGTGCATTGCCACGCCGGTGAACACACAGTAATTTATACCTGGAACAGAAACAAGAACACGACGCACCTGTCAGAGTCGTTTGTACTC